CTAAAAATCGTCGTCGCAAATCGTCCCGTGTAACATCACCTTTATCCAGCTTTCTGTTGATATTAATGAGCCCTTCGCGATAAAGTGTTGGGCGACGACCCAAACGAAAGCTCTGTTGTATATTTATTGACCTCTGATGATAAATACACTGTCTGTGGAACAAACATCTCGCCAAATCAACTTCTTTGCGGGAAATATATTTAGCGACGTTTCTTCTTTGTGGAGGAGACTTTCGATCACGCGCTGGGTAACGAAAAAGATCTAGTTTCACCGATATGCAGATATAGGACGAACCTTGGAGACTTCAGAAACCGCCGTACGATGATACTCAAGGCATATATAAACGGACATGAAAACGGGCGAAAATCGCTGAAAGGAACTCAACACAACGAGTGAATGAATTTTTCACCAACTTGCCGCCAAAAACCTGAACGTCAATGCAGTACAATGATCTATTGCCAGCGTAATTCGATATTCCATAGGCCAAAAAAAAATTATAGTATTTATTATTTGACCGGCCAAAATCGGGGTTTTAGCGTCTGGGCTAAAAAACATTTGGCCAGTCATCATGACCGGCGACCTGCTGTCCGTTATTTTGAGCCCTGGAAATGAACAGAAAGGGGTTCTTATAGCACGTATCCCTTTCCTCTCTCCCCAATCCCCTCCCTTTTCCCCCTACCTCCCAATCCCCAAGCCCGTTCGAGCTAAACATAGAACTGACCACTGAAATCGATCAAGAACGAGGAAAACTAATAATATCACTGTGAAATTTTATGGACAGCCTCACCAGTATTTATGCCTACTGTTATTATCTTGTTCACTGTAAAGAGTGTGGATCTTATTCTATGAGACAAAAAAGTAAGTCTACATGTATGTATATGTACATGTTGCAGTTAATTTTCTTTATTTCAGTTAACTTTTGTTTTTCCTTTGTTTTAAATTCATTAGCATACATTACCATACCCAAAAACAATGGAAAAATGAAAATAAACTGAAAAAAATTAATTACAACCAGTTTCTGCTACAACATATATAAAATCAGATAAAATCTATATTAAAACCTTAAAACTTGTGATTTTACCACTGATGAATGCGCTTTACCAATTCACGCAGCTCAGACTCTGTGACCACTTTCATCTCTTTTCAGCACAACAGCTCTTGCCTGCATCTTTTAATTCATACAGGATTTTTGGGCTTGGTAATTCAGATGAATCAACTATACATATCGACACGACGAGACCTCACCGCCATATTGGATCATTTGAACGTCCGCTGTACAGCTATTCTCCCTCGTGCAGCGACTCGGGCAGGAGTCACACAAGCTCCCCGCGGGGAGCTGTAACCTGAGATCAGGCTCTATTTTCGTTTCGCTAAAATTGAGCCTGATCTCAGGTTAGTACAGCATACATTGCAGTTGTAAATCAATCTCTTTGGGAAGGGTAACAGATGCGTGCTTGGTCTTGGTAAAATTGATTTGTTTGCCATAGGCTGATTGGCTGCCGCCCAGAGAGACAAACGAAAATTGATCGATACTCAAAACCGAAAAATGGCACTATTTTCAAGGGAAAAACAAAAACTAACCAACACACAAGTGACAGAAACCCTCATTAAATCGCTTTCCTTTTGGTAGTTCAGCGTAAACAAATGATTTGTTTCTAGTGGAGCTGGGTATTTACTCACGTTTCATGTAAACGGCTACACATCGTTCTCGTGTGAGCGGTAATGAAATGAGACTGGTGCGACCATAGCCTATTGCAGTTGAAGAGCGAAAGAAGCCACAGAGTACTGTGCACGATAGCCTCCATAGCAAGCGTTTCCGTGCTGTTTCGGAGCAAAGAACGAGGAACAAGAGTCAAAGACCGTGCGAAAAATGGCGCATTTTTTTACTCTCGTTCCATTTCTCGCTCCCTCAAAGCCGAAACTCACTTTCCTTTGTCTTTGTTTGCTCCGTAACCAAATGAAAACGATTGCTACGCAGGCTATGTGCACGATAAAGGGTACCGAGTCTATGCTTTTCTGTTATACACGAAATACAAACGAAAGCAATTGTGAACTTTTTGTTTTACTCACTGCAATTTTAGCTCTACTAGCTATACTCACTATACAGCATGGCATTATACTACCCCAGCATCTTCTACAAAAACATAAAAAAACTGAACGAGAAACGCTCTAACTACTCTAAATCCCACAATTTTCTTTCCATGGAGACGATAACTCTTGCAAACAAAGCTGGCGTTTCTTATAGATATCAGCTTGGTAGGAGTTAACCGCGGCGTTGCACATGATTAAGCTCACGGGCCAGCTGACAGAGAACACAAAGTGGACAACACTCAACCGTAGAGTAATCGTCACAATTGGAGCCCTGCAATTGGATGAAATGAAGTCAGTCATGGGTGAATTATTCTGTTTTTGGTATTGAAATAATGATTATATGAAAATCATATACAGGAAATGTGGGGTGAAGAATTAAATGAAAGAAGATTATCGCAGTTGTAGACGCAACTTTTGCAGTTGCAGGAAGCAAGTTTTTGGTATTCTCTCAGTATTCTCTTATAGCGGAGCTCTAAGCGCGCGCTTCGCGTACGCAAGCGTAGCCCCATACCTTAGAAAATTTGGTAAACCATCCATCCGAGAAATTTTGGTTATAACGTGACCGTACGCGAGTACGTCCGTACAGACGCTGAGGGAGGGGGTAAGGGAGTCAGGAGTCAGCCCGTCGTGAGGAGGAGTATGTTATCGCTGAAGTACCCGCGCGTTTCGGCGGTATATTGCATACTCACCCGGAAATTTTGAGATGAAAAAACAACAACAACAACAAAGCCGATTCTTTCTTTCGACTTAATTTCAATGTCTACATTAATAACAGAAAAAGCAAGAGATAACAATCAAAGGAGACCAATTACGCTGGAAGAATAACATGATAACTTTATAGCAGCGGTGAGAAAATGAGAAATGCTGTGCTAGCGCCCATAAAAGTGAAAATGAGTGGCATTGAAAAGAAAAGTGAACAGGAGGAACACCGTACAACATTTGCTAGAAAAAAGGGGGAAACTAGGATGTTTCTGGAAGTTTCACGTTGTAGTAGTGTAAAACAATGGCAAAGAAATGTAAAAAAAAAGGTTTGCTGCACGTGCAAAGTTTTTTTTTTGCTAATAGACAAACGTGCAAAGTTGTTTTTTTTGCTTATGAGAACTGACTTTTGGGGGGCTATTTTTGTTGCCGTTGCCGCTTCGCATTACACGATTATATATTTTGTTTGAGTAAACTATAGATATTAACAAGAGCTTTGCTTTTAGCCCTGGCAAAATCTATATATTAGAAAACTCTATTATCTTAATCCGATAAAAAATGGGGGGAAAACGTAGAACTTTATACTATTTATTATAATTTTTTTCTTCATGAAAATTGGCCATCGTTACCTCCATTCAAGGTTAAGGTTCTTGGAAAGTTTGAAGGTGCGGTCGAGGCGATAATTAACAAATATATTAAAGAAAAGTTATATTGCCACAATTTTGCAGTGGTGGCTAGAAAATCAGACTGCTCCCGTAATGTAGTTTAACGGACTCTCATAAAAAATTACGATCATTATACGTTTTCCGTCCCCTAAGCCAACAGATAGTCACATAAGCTTCAAGAACGCTTTTCACTAGAGCGCCTTAAAGCCTAAAACATAAAATTTAGAGCTTAGTAAGGTGGTTTCTCAGGTTTGCACAGTGCTTAACAATATGAGTGCCGTAAAAAAAGTTATCTGCAGTGTTGTTTAAACGTTCTTTTACTATTTTGATGGCCGGATTGGTTATTTTCATTTATCATTCAATTCATTTTGGTGGCATCTTTTTATTAAATGGCTTGATTTAACTTCAGTCATAAATGTGGGGCAAAGCTCCTTAAAGAACTGAAACTAGTCCCCTAGAACGAGGTTGTTTTTTAAGCTCTTAATGTCTGTCGAATACCTGAATATTCTCCTGCACTCTCAGCTTGATCCTGAGTCCCAACAGTGCAGTATATGGGCAACAACAAGGAAAGCAACATCCTTCGCCCATCCTGGTCGAAACATCAGCCAGCAGGAAGTAAGGACAGAAAAGGCCCATACACACTTGAAACACAAACAAAATAAAATACACGTGGCTGGGTTAGCTCAGGTGGAACAGCGTTTGTTTGCAGAGTGGGAAGTCGCGGATTCGATTTCCGGATCCAGACCAATACTTGGGGTCTTAAGAAAACTGAGTAAGAACGTATTGTCTATGGTTTCGAAACGGATAAACCGCTTCGCGTGACTAGGATGACCACGTAAAAATGGCGGAGCCGTATCCATTAGGATACGTGACTGAATACTGCCCTCAATGAGTACATTCGAGCAAGAAATACTAACACTTAATAAATAAAGTTATAACTATTCTCATTCGTGTAAAAGCCGCCGCTTGACGATTTAATCAACTAGATTACTGCGTGCTCCCTTGTAAAGCAGTCTATTGGTCCTTTACGGTACACAGGGAAATTCCCTAGGCCTTTTATACGCTCTAGCAAACAAATTCGCCGTCTTCTCGCAAGTCTACTCTACAACGGACAAGCAAGTTTCCCCACCCTAGGCCGCTTCAGCGGCGCTGGCAAATTTTCTCTATCAGCCCACCCTATGCCCTATGCAAAAGTTTTCACCCATAACTTATCCATCAAAAGGCATAGGCTGGCTTTAACGCGAATGTGAATTAGTTACTATTATTAACGCCACATTTACTCATTTGAGTGTCGCTTAAAGAATACTTACGAGAGCCACAGTCCTCAAAGCAACCACACAATCCAGAGCTCCAATTCCGTGGTGCCTGTTGCACCACTACTGGTTGCTGATTCACCAGTACAGTGGTATGGCTAGTCTGTTGTACTTGCGGTGCCGGTTGTTGAGTTACCACTGGATACTGACCCGGGAGGTACGTCGGTTGATCCATCGCTTGCTCTGGGGAATACGGTTGAACCGTGGGTGGTACAGTGGGTGGGGAATCCATTATTTAGGCTCTGAAAGGAAAAGTTATTTTAAAACAAAAATCAACGCGTCCCGATATAAAAGAAACTTGACGTTTCGATGGCTTCATGTCATCGTTAGGGAGTACTTGATCTTTATTGGAAAAACATTATAACACATGTATTTCACATAAACTAAACTTTATTATGTTGTTATTTTTGAGGAGATCGGAATAAATACCACGTGACAATGACGTCACAATAGTTTTAGCTTTAAATCGAATTTCTGCCCTTAACGGCATTTTCTTTCGAAATGCTTTACGCTACGTATACTTTGGGTGCTTGTCTTCTGTTGTAAGAAGTTTCACAAAAATCTATACGAGGACTTTCGAGATATCTTTGAATTTCAACTAAAAGGTATAAATTATGTATGAACTGAAGGCTGGACTTAATGCAAACAAATTTGCTGCCTTTTGGAAACTTCCGAAAAGTTTTTATCACTCATTCGTTTTGCAAATGACCTTTATGGATTCTACAACCGACTAAACGTAAGTAGACTTGTGCGATTTCGATCAACCATGAAAACATGTGAATCAGTCAAACGCAATGCTGAGCTCTTTTTGTAATTTCTAGGGCTACTTTCACGAAAACAGCGAATAAACCAAAATTCGTCGATCGATTTTCTTTAAAACTTTCAGTGCTGCAATTGATCAGTGTACTATAAAATCCGTGTCCATTGAAAAGTTTTTAAGTTGTCTAACGTAGGCGCAAAGTTGATAGCCTGCGTAGCAGGCGTCGAAAGGGGTAGGGGATAGGGAGAGAAGGGAAAAGGGGGGGCCGGGGATTGGGGAGAGAGGGTAAGGGCGAGGTGCTCGCTTAGATATTCTTCCCGACACTGTTCTTTTTCTAATTTTTTTGCAAAAAACAAATACAAAACAGCATATTAAGCATATACAGGGGCACCCGATGGATCTGTTCCTCAAAATATCTTTTCTTCAGACAAATTTTTTGCTGGCTGGGAGATCTGGAAGAATAATATGTCCTTGAAAGGAAAGTGTTGCTGGAAAATAGACCATTCCGGGTGTCTGAGCTAGCTCGATCTGATGATGATGAGGGGAGATTCTAGATCTGGTATTTAGAATAGCTGCTATTTGCTATTTTCAGAAGCCTCTTTCCCCCCCCCCCTACTGTAGGGGTGAATTTTGCCCTTAGCCCCCACCCTCACCCCCACTGAGGGGCTGAATTGTGCCCTATGACCACACCCAAACTGGCCAGTAACGTCTGCACACGCGTACGCGTCCGCTGGAAAACTTCCCGGTAACTCAGGTTGCAGGTTGTAGGTGCACCTTGCTGGTCGGGAACTCTTCCATCAGTCTTACTGGGAGTGAGGAAAAGATAAATTTTTGCCAGCAATCTCCCAAAATTCTTAAAACGGCTTCTGAAAGCTTTATTCATGCTTTGTTGTTGTTTTTAGGTCTTTTTATCAACATTTCCCGTTGGGTGCCCCTGCATATATTTTTTCCTCATCAGCATACTTGGTGTTAGTGCAAGAAAAGTGAAAGTTCTATTTACTCAAATCATAAAATACATTAAGTTCAAGAATTTGAAAAAAGATTGGTTCCTTCTAAACTTGTTTTCTTTTACATTTATGTCAGAGAAATTTACACCCTTATTTTATATAAGAATGTTGTTTTTCCGGTCCAGGCTGAATATTCTTGTATTACCCTTAAATTAAAGCTTAGCAGTCACTGTCCACTGTTTTTCGTGTTGTAGGCTAGTTTCAGGAGCACCCAACGACGGTTTCCTCCTAAATACATTGAAAACACTATTTAGGCTATCCAGAGTACTTTTAGATGTCTAGAAATGCATCTTATGCCTTTTAAGCAGCACTATAAAATTGCAAGAACGAGAAGTCCGAAGACTACAGCAAAGCTGATTTAAAACAACGTGTATTGTTTTTTATAACAATATTTCGGCTGGCGATACCAGCCTTCTTCAGGTTTACAGATGTTACTGAACTTATGTAGCAATCATATAGATGGAGAATGTCGCAATAAAAGGGAGAGGCGGAAATGACGTACAACATAAAAACTGGATAGGAAAAATACAAAGGATATGGATTACAATAATTCGTCACGGCGGTTTAGGCCATGAGGTTCAAGAGTCATGGCCTTATCTATCAAATGCGACTCCCTGGCCTTACGAACTGAGTCACGTGAAGAATGAATTTTTTCTAGTGGGATTAACTGCATGTCAGTATGAGAATGGTTAGAGTGAGAGAGAAAGTGTTCAGAAACAGTAGTGGGTTTAGATTTAATGTTAGTTTTGTCGACTGCACGTCTGTGTTCGTTAAATCTGTCCTTGAGAAGTCGCTTAGTTTCACCTATATATTGTAAATTACAACGGTTACATTGAACAATGTAGATGACATTTTTAGTGTTACAAGTAATGTGTGAAGTGATGGAGCGTGTTTCACCTGTAGCGTAAAAGGTATAACTTGTTAGGCCGTTAGTAATGTATGGATAAGTGGCACAATTCTGTCCACAGCGGAAGGAGCCCGGCGGAAAATGATTGGTGGAGATAACGGGTAGTTGTGCTTTAACTAAAAGGTCACGAAGATTAGAGCTACGTCTGTAAGCAACAAAAGGCGGTTGCTTAAAGACGTCTTTGCAACGGTTAGAGGAGTGTAAGATGTTAAAATGTTTGCGTAGGATATTAGAGATGCGTGGAAGTGCTGGGTTATATGTGACAACAAATGGTACAACATCGTTAGAAGCTTTGGGTTTAGTTTGTAACGCGTTAGTACGAGAAATATTAGCAGCGCGTAGGAACTGTTTTTCTAAGAAATTATTATTATAACCACGAGCAAGGAGATATGTGCTAAGTTCATTAATGCGATGTTTAAACTTAACGTCTGTAGAGCAGATACGGCGGAGGCGGAGGGCTAAGTTGAACGGAATGGCTTTCTTAGTGTGGTGAGGATGGCATGATGAGCTGAGAAGGTGCTGATGTTTATCCGTGGGTTTAGTAAATAGATCAGTTTCAATTATACCGTTATGTAGAGACACCATGACGTCGAGAAAAGGAACGTTAGTAAGTGAGTGAGAACTAGTGAACTTAATAGTGGGATGAATATTATTGAGATAATCGACGAATATTTTCAAACGATCTGAACCTTGTAAATTGAAATTGTATCTGTTCGGTCATCCTGGGGCCGGAAACTTGAGTCTTTTCGAAAGTATTATTTTCCCGAATATTTTAGATGCAATTTGAAGTATTACGAATGTGAGACATTTTCTGATTTCTCACTCTATTGCATTTTTGAGTCCGAAAATTTTGGGCTTCCTTTTCTCTACGAAAAATAGCCTAACTTGGAGTGAAATTTGAAAATTAAACTTCAGAAAATCGTAGGGAATTTGTTAGATAAGCTTCCAAAGTTGTACATGAGTGGAACTTTCATCTAGAAATTTTTAGCCGTCCTCAGGCAATAGAAAATTCTAGGCAATATTTGGTTCTCCGAACAGATACGGTCGTTGGGTGCCCCTGTAGTTTTGCCGTTTAGAGAAAGGAGTAATTTTATCAGTCACTTAAAACACATGCATAATTCAGTGCAGTTTATTAACAGATTTTCAACACAAAAAATTATCATCCTTTTCAAAATCTCAGCCTCGGGTTTATTCTTAAAATATTCTTAAAATTCGCAAATTTCGTAAAAATTCGTAAATTTCAGCCTCGATATTCTTATAAAATGTGTTCTTATAGTGAAAAAACAATGTAATCGATTTTTGTCAAAGCGCTCGAACACAACCTCGAGCTATAGTGTAACATCGCACGCGTAATGTTCTCGGAGAGGTTTAGTCGTAAGCCAAAAAAGAACTACAAAAAATAGAAATTAGGCATTCATTTACTTACTTAAGAGATACGATGATTCTTTTTGAGATTGTTGTGTTCAGCAAGCTCTTGAAGTCCCTTGCTTTGGTTCCACGGTCTCTCTTAGCTTGTTGTTAGCCAAGCACACGGAAGGACGCTTTCTTTCGGAATTCTAGTAATCCTCAGTCGCCCAGGGGGAGGGGGGGAGGGGGGTGACCATTATGTAAAAGACAAGGAGATGCTAGTCGGACAATACGGATTAATTAAGCCCCTGTAGGAGGCCAATCTGGGCTTTACCTGACACATGGAGGAGAACATAATGGAACAGCCAATCAAATAAGAGCTGATAATCATAATGATAATAATAATAATAATATTTAATACTCCTATAGCGCATTGTAACAGGTATATGATGATATGCGACTTATATAGAACAAACGTTATGCTGCCTACTGTATTGAAACTATTTGCAGTCAATTGCTTCATCAATAATTTAACATCAATAAAACGGAGTAAGAGATAAAAAAGGAAATAAGAGTGAAAAATAGAGAAACCTCGGAAAACTTAAACAAAGTCAACGTATGCTTCTCTACTAGGGATAGTAGGGATAGTGGTTCTCTAACAGCTACAGTGATATTGATTTCGTTAAAGGATATTTCTTTGTTGTTTCTTTTTAATATGAAGATATTTCTTCACGTGAAACTTACTGAAATTCTGTAATTTACACCTCTTAGGGAGATGACAAGCCCCTCGTCTCTTTTGAACATAAGTCCCCCCGGATCAGCGCTAGTCAAATGCGTCATACAATTCAGGAATTTGACCACTATGAACTTGTAAATATAAATAGGATCACAATCTCTAATTTACATGTTAAGTGACACGCGTTTCTATTGTAGCAAGTTCCACATGTTCAGAGTTGGGCAGTTAAAAGAGGACAAAATAGCAGCGAAAATGGCGCCGGGAAAACGTCGAGGAAGCTATCCACTCCCCTCTGATCCCATCTACAGTCGACTCCCGATAACTCGAACCTCACGCTAACTCGAACCAAAATCGATTTCCCCTGGATTTCCGTCATACATTCACTGTAATCTTACCCTCGGTAACTCGAACCCTCGATAACTCGAACTCCCGCTAACGCGAACCAATTTGGGTTTCCCCTCAGGTCATTTTCTAT